GTGATCTGTCATCAAGAACGTCTCCTGTTTCTGCACCACTTTGACCTATACAAATGTGTCCCTAAGACGACATCACAAGATTGGCCTGCAAACATATTTGTATTATAATCCCTGAGATGAAGCATACATAAGGTAGGCGAGAACCATGCTAACGACGAGGAGACAAGAACTATAGTCAGACAAAAGCACAAGAAATTTTGACCAAAAAGAACTTCCAACGAGGTCCTCACTTGAACTGTATACCAGAAAAATGTGTATTGGAACAAAACAGTAATTCCCTGGGTACAAACTCTACAGCTGCTACAGTCCCCACAATGACATCAGACCAGACTAGTGTGTGTTACTAAGTGTGCTGAATGAACCATTTATGTTCAGAGTTTACAGAGAACTTGAAAAAACTTTTATGAAATTTTCTATCGATTTAACCATAATGTTAAATCTCTGGAAAAGCACAAGTAGGACTGATGACTAGAAATAAAATGAAAAGAAGTTCAGAAACATTGTATTTGCTCAAGATGGGAGACTACAACAAAACCAAGATTCAACTTGTCTGCTGCTTCCTTAGATAGAAAACTTTACTAATTGGCTTTTCTAGGAATGTGAATATTCCTGTAAAGTGCCCTGAGACAACTTTGTTGTGACTTGACTCTAGATCAATAAACTGAACTGAATTGAAAATTGAATTGAAAAAAAAAATACCTTTTTCATGGAGGACTTGAACTTGGGTGGAGCTTGATCTGATGAGCCAACATGTTCAACCTTGACACCCTCAGTCAAAGTCGATAATGTGTCAACCTTACGAACAGAAAAATAGCATCTTAATAATTTAATTTATCCAGGCTGACAAACATTAGGGCAAAGCCAACAACCACCTAAACTAGAAACATAAAACAAACCATTGACTAATCAAAAGAAATACAGCAGATTACTAACATGCTACATTGTTGATGAATCACAGCTTTAAAGTTCTACTATGAAGCTGGTTCAGTTTGGCAGTGATCTGTCATCAAGAACGTCTAAAGTTTTTGCACCACTTTGACCTGTACAAATGTGTCCCTAAGACGACATCACAAGATTGGCCTGTAAACATATTTGTATTATAATCCCTGAGATGAAGCATACATAGAGTCAAACGGTAGGTGTGAACCATGCTAACAATCAGGAGACAAGAACTATAGTCCCACAAAAGCAGATTAATCCAAAAAAGTTCAATCTGGTCCTCTGGACATTCAAAAAGACAAAAGCAAAACAAAGCAAAAAAAAATCTAGAAACGTTTCGTCTCTCATCCAAGAGACTTCCTCAGTCTGAGGTGCTGTTTTCAGCTCAGTCTCTTAAAGAGACTGAGACTGAGACAGATTTAAGAGACTGAGCTGAAAACAGCACTTCAGACTGAGGAAGTCTCTTGGATGAGAGACGAAACGTTTCTAGATTTTTTTTTGCTTTGTTTTGCTTTTGTTTTTTTGAATGTCCAGAGGACCAGATTGAACTTTTTTGGATTTTTCTACCTGGATTATTGAGCATGCATCAGGATAAAAGCAGATTAAATTTTGACCAAAAAGAACTTCAAAAACGGGGTCC